GGTATTTGGCCTGAGAACATTTTGTGGCGCTGCCATTGGTCCTTCTTCCATCCTTTTCAGTGAAGGGTAACCCTGCCTGTGAACTCCTTGTCCTGCAGGGCAGCTCTTCTTACCCAGGTAGTCTCAGACGATTCTGCAACCCAGAGTGTTCACTGGTTCCATATCTGACCTGCAGGGTGGAAAGCAATATCCTCGTCTGGTGAGGTTAGCAGGTGACCTGGTGAGAGTTGCCATAGAGAGGTCCTGTCTGTTGGTGATTTATAAGATCCACCTCCTGACTTCAGGCAGAAAAGGAAAGAGGAAGGTGGCTGTTCTGCAGCCAGGGTGTCTGTTTGCAGACCTGGTGGTGGGAGATGGAGCCCTGTGTCTTGACTGAAGCTTCTCAGCCTTGTCCTAGAAAAGCTCAAAAAACCCTTTATTTCCCTCAGCACAGACCTGACAGAGGAGGAAGGGGAATGGAGAGGGATGTTAAACTGTCTCAGTGCTTCCCACTGACCTGTAAGGTCCCGGAAGCCAACAGTGGCTGTCATGTCATTTTGTTTGCCCTCAGTACCCCAGTCCATCAGCATCTTGTTGAGGGCAGTGGCGTTTACTGTTTGCCCTCTTATTAATTTTGGGAATCCTGAAAGTCAGACTGTACCAGTGTTTGGGCTCTTGTTTCCAATTTCCAAGCTTCTTTCTTTGCATTTGTCTCAAAGAATGTCTTGATAGTGTTTGTGAATATAGTTTTTCAGTGTAATTGTACCTAAATAAATCACCCTGGTTTCAAGACTCAAGTTTTATGTATAAAATTGCTTGAAGTAATTGAGAATGTTATCTTAATGTTATTTTTTAAATAGCAGTACTAGAATAGCCTCAGAAGCATCTGTAGGTGTCCACAGCCATGATAAATGACAAGCCTAGGTTTTAGAGTTAGTCACCTCCATCTGAGGATGTTGAACAAATATCTGACGGAATTTAGAAATGGAAATTACCAAGAACCTGACTCATGAGTATATTGTGTGGATTAAGTGAGGTCAGATGTCCAAAGTGATAGATAATATAATTCATGGCACAGTATAAGAACACACCTAGAAGGTTTGGGATTTCTTTTTTATTTATTACTGGTGTTAATTTTTATATGGACCATGACAGCACCCTGGCTGTCCTGGAACTCACTCTGTAGACCAGGCTGGCTGGCCTTGAATTCACAGAGATCCACCTACCTCTGCCTCCTGAGTGCTAGGATTAAAGGCATGCACCACCATCGCCTGGCCCTCTGTTTTGAATACCTCTGCCTCTTGTCCCTTGGAAGTCCAAAGCTGTCTTGAGAGTGCCTGACAGCTTCCATGGCGACTTGTGTTTTCTTTCTCCTCTTGGTACCTCTTATTCCCAGTTGTTTTAGCATCTGTTATTTATCTTTACTCCCCGATGCAGACCCTGCCTCTTCCTTAATCACATTTCGAGTCTCCCAATATCAAGGCTGGTATGTCCAAATGGTTTTGGCTAAGGCAGGATTGATGGCTCAGGAAAGCACACAGGTTAGATTCCGACATGCCTTACTGGGAATTGTTTCCCCTACCACTGCTGTGCCTCATCCAGACCACCTACAATGAGACATAGATGTTTTCCATAGTATACTAAAAGATGGACAGTGCTCGAGTTGGGATTATGCTTTTAGGCATGATTTTTTCCTTTTATATTACAAGATCTTTAAACTTAAACTAGTACTTGTCCTACAGTTGGGAAAAAATAGCTCAGTCTTAAAAGCTGAGAAACTTTATAGGGTTGGGGAAGAATTTAGCACAAGTCGCGTAAGTAACTTCTTGCTCTTAGTGATCCCTCTGATCCTTTGGAAAGGGACCCTTTCTGATCCTTTAAAGTGTGGGATGTAACAGCCTCTCACACACCTCCTAATCACTGGTCAATGCCTGTGTCACAGCACAGGTGCTCTTGTGTGGGCAACTGCTCTAGGCGGCGGCATAAGCTGGGAGAGGCCTAAGAGTGAGGCGGGCTAAAGTCTCATGCGATAGCCAACTTTATTCAGAGCATCAGACGGTTTGTACCCTGAGGGTTAAGGACAGCCACATGTGGCAAAGGCATGTTTCCCATAGAGACGTATGAACAACAGCAGCTGAAGTGAATTCCCTCTTGTCCACTACACCTTGGAGGAGCATGGAAACAGGTTCCAAGAACAATTCTGTGTTTTCGAAGACTCTTGTTTTCTTGGCTTTTCTCACAAGCACTAAGAATTCTGCACACAGGACTCCATTGGCTCTTTGAACTGTCTTTGGCTTTGTATGTCTGAATGACCAGGATTGCCTCTTATCCCATCACACCCTCACTTCCATCCTTAGCACTTCTGTGTCCTCTGGTGGCTCTGTGTGGCTCTTGCTGAAGGACCAGTGTCTACTGTGTTCCCGACTCCAGTGCCGCCTTGCTCCATGTCCCCGCAGCAGCTGACGCGGCCGTTCTCTCTGCCCCCTCCCCCTCCCCACAGTACAGTCTGCCACTTACGCCATCCTCCCCGACTGTTCCGGTGATGCTTTGCACACCCTTCTCCCTGAGAACTTTAAACATGGATGTCCTCAGGTGTCTTCTCTCCCCAGTTGTCATGCTCTCCAAGGTTACCTCTTCTGGCCATGACTTCAGCATTTCATATCATGACAGAGTCTGTAACTTTACTGCATTGGAGCAAAGCTGAGACATCAGTAGAAAGAAGCATCACAATGTTACGTCCCAGGAAGGAAGAAAAGAGCAGTGATATAAATAGCATAGTGATATGCAACCCCGTTAATCGTATAGATGGATTTCATTTCAGAAATAGCATAGTGATATGCAACCCCGCTAATCGTATAGATGGATTTCATTTCAGAAATGTCAGCTTTGTGGTAAATGCACAGCCCAGAATCTGAGTGTGATTTCCTTAGCGTGTATTAAATGCCATTTTCAGAGCATGAACTCCTGCTATAAGTCATCTTCCCAGGGGCCGGCAAAACAGTTGTAATAACTCTGTCCAAGAAATGAGAAGTTCTCCAAGTCTCATCTTCAGCTATGAGAAGCATTACTGCTGTGTAGATGAAATAGACCTGAGACAGCCAAACAATGAAGCATAGCTATTAAACTAGTAGGTTTTAAGGATGGTGCCGGAATGCGGTAATTTATTTCACTTAAGATTGTTCCAGCTACCTTAGCGTGCTGTGAGGTGGCCCCTGAACATTGCTCTGTCTTCACACTCTTCGTCCAGTGATGGAATTGTCATATTCATTACCCATTTCTTGTATTGGTGCACACACTGGCAGATCATTTTGGTATTTTTCTTTCATTTATTTTTCCTCCATTTATTTTTTTCTTCTATAGCTTCAAAATTGCTTTTGACAGCTCTGGGACCTGTGAGAATGATTGCCAGACTTTGAAATTTCATTTTCCTGCAGCAGCATCCAAAGTTAACAAAAAGACATGGGAGTAATTCCATTAAGTCTCCCCATCTGCCAACATCTGTGTCCCTCACGTTGTTCTACTGGGATTTCTAAAAATAATTTTAAGTGATATTATAAGCACTTTCATTTCTGTAGGGAGAAGATTTCATACTTGATATTTTTACCTTAAATTATTACCTTATATTATTACCTTATGTTTAGTATATTGAATAATGTTCAGTTTCACTAGTCCTAAAAGCAGAAAAACATTATTTATGTTTCATTTTTGCATATTGTTAATTAGTATACAAACTCTAATTTAGCTACATACCTCTAAACAGCCAAATGATTTTCCCCCAGAGATATGCTATAAAGGGCGGTGGTGGCGCACGCCTTTGATCCCAGGAGGCAGAGGCAGGCGGATCTCTGTGAGTTCAAGGCTAACCTGGTCTACAAGAGCTAGTTCCAGGACAGACTCCAAAGCTACAGAGAAATGCTGTCCCGAAAAATGTATCTTCCTAGTTTTCTCCTTCCATAGCTCTTTTGTAATATCTTTCTTAAAGTTGGTTCAAAATAGAATGTTTGGTAAATAAAATTACACAACCATGTGGGAACTGAAAAAGAAAAAGCACCTTAAAGTAGTCTTGGATCGAAGAAGAGGTAAGACCTGCAATATTGGACTTGATTCAGAGTGAGTAAAGGAGCTGCGTTCTATGATGGAGCTAAAGAGATGGCTCAGCACTTATGGGTCAGTGGCTCACAGTCGCCCCCCGCCCCCAGGCTATCCAGTGCTGCCTTCTTGCCTGCTCAGGCACCTGCACTCACGTGCATAAACCCAGCATAACTGAAAACAAAGTCAACCTTAAAATCAAAATGGGCTGTTGCACTAAAGAAGTCACTGTGTTCCAGTTTTCACACACCGGGTACAGAGTGTCTTGTCTTCTCTGTGGTTTGTCGTGTGGTAGTCCCACTGCAATAACCTTGAAATTGCTCTGCATAAAAACACACAAGTGCTTGATGAAAAGCATTCTGTACACCCAACAGTTGGAGGAGAATTCCATTCATTAGAATCATTAGAAACTTTTCCCAGCAAATCAATGCGGATCTCAGTCTTTAGGGTTTATGTACTTTTCTCTGATAGGTTTCTCCCATATGTATCTTTGTATTCCCTACTATAGTACTTTATGTGAAGGCAGATATTCATACGCCATGTCTACAACTTTACAAACGCATAGAAAAGCATGCTGTTTTCTTTCCTATAGAACGTAGCTCATATTCATACAGTCATGTAACTGCAGAGCTTTAATGCATATGTGTTTTGACTTAAATTTGAAATTTTGTATAACTATGATAAAATAAAACCTCTGACCTTTTTAACCCTAAGGAAAGAATATAGCTTGTTAATGTTTTGTGAGACATTTAGAGTCATATTTTCATAACTGGTATTTTATGATTTGATATACATGATCATAGTCTGCCACTGAATGAAGGAAAATATTTTAATTATTGGAAACATCCTCAGATGTAAGTTTTAGAGTAAGTAGTATAAGGTTACCGAATATTTTGTGATTGGATCTTTTGATTTTCCTCAAACTTCTCTAGGTTGAAAATGTCCGCTTGGTAGATCGAGTGTCCTGTAAAAAAGCAGCACTGGGGACTTTATATTTGACGGCTACTCATGTCATATTCGTGGAGAATTCACCCGACACGAGGAAAGAAACCTGGGTATGCTGTCCACATTTTTGGTCTTACATGTTTTTCATTTGTTTCAGAGTAGAGAACATGGAGTATTTTGGGCATTTGGAGGTGATTTCTGGGATATATTAGAAAAGGGATGTCTTTCTGAAATCACAGTCATATTTACCTGGTGCATCTATGTATCTTAAACATTAACTATTTAGGCATCATCAAAGCTAGACCTAGCAGTGGCCTGGAGCTGCCGGAACTTCATGCCATAGCCGTGGAGAAGAGCTTCAGTCCTGCCGGTTGTAGCATGTCCATATCTGATTTGCTGTAGCTAGTTTTTTGCAGGGTGCTTTAGAATACTTGGTAGTTTTTGAAAGTTTCATACTTTCATACAGTGTGTACTGACCAGATGCTTCCCTCCACCCCCCTTAGTGTCCTCACCCTGTCTCCCTCTCAACTTCATTTCCTCCTCTTATGGTTGTTAATGCCCTAGTCCAGTCAGGACTGTCCGTGTGCACATGGTTATATTGCTAACCACTGTGGCCATGACCCAAGAGGAGAGTGACTCTCCCTTTATCAACAGCTATCAGTTGCCAGTAGTTCCTCCAATGGGCCCCTCCTCCATGCACAATCTTATAGATTATCTGTTCTCTTATTTTATTATATTGATTTTACTTTCTGATAATTTCAAAAAGAAAAGGAAAGCTGGAGACTCATCATGTCACTAGGTATATTTGTGTTTAAACATCAAAACATTAAACATTATATAGCACCACAAACATGACTTTATTAATTACAGCCAAATCTTGACTTGTAGATTTCATTTCCATACTCCACGGACAGGACTACAGTTAGTGGAAGGTAGCCAGAACCACACAGTGGACAGGAACTTCATGGAGACCTGCCCTTAAAGACAGAACATAGATGTCTTCAAAAGCTGGGGAGTCACAGTCCAGAATGGTTTATTTTCTTATCAGTTTGTTTCTTAATGGAATGATGATTGCAGAGGTTCTAGATGAGGTAAGAAAGTAAGGAATGTGGAGTTACTGATCAGAGGGTTCAAAGTTTCATATAGATAGGAGGACAAGGTTTTGAGGTTGATTGCATTATATATCAGGGTTTATAGTAAATCATGATGTATTATATATTTCAAAGTATCTTGAGTAAATTTCAAATGTATCACCATAAAAATCATAGCTCAGGAAGTTGATGCACACACACAGACATATGTGTGTATGTATGTATGTTGACTTAATCATTCCACATTTTTTGTATATATATATGTGTGTATATATATATATATATATATATGAATAGCACTGTGCTATGATCTGTCCACTGAAAATAACAAACTGTGAGAAAGTGAAATATTTTTATTTGTAGCCCGCCCAACTACCAACAGCTTAGAGACCAAGTAGCCATTGAACTTGAGCATCCCATGTGGAATTAAGGAGCATGGTGGCACTTCCCAGTGGAGCCATCTCTAACTTTTGTTGATCGCAAAAGTTTATTTTACAAACTTCCCATGACCTTATTTAATTTTAGATATTAGATGCATTCAGCATTTGACTCTCAAAATGTTCCCTACCTGGAGCTGTGCAAATTTAAATGCTGAATATTTCTCTTCAAAATAATAAGTGCGACTGTCAGACAGTCTGGAACTGAAAACTAAAGCTACGCTCATCTGTAGCTGATTCTTCCTTCAAATCTCCCAGTTCTTATAAACAGAGTACAGGTGTTGAATGAGGCAAATGTTGAGGGATGTTTCTTGTCTGTGGCTCAGAGACCTCTTTGTCCTTGTCATTTTGTTTCTTATTCATACTTACCATACACACATTAACTTTTGGTCCTAGATTCTGCACAGTCAGATCTCCACCATTGAAAAGCAGGCAACGACAGCTACTGGCTGTCCTCTGCTTATTCGCTGCAAGAACTTTCAGATTGTACAACTTGTCATACCACAGGAGAGAGACTGCCATGACGTCTACATCTCTCTGATGCGCCTTGCACGGCCAGGTAGGCAAAGGAACTCGGCATCTCATATGCGACTTCTGAAGAAAGGCACAAGTCACGGTGAAGAGTTTGTATTACGCTTAGGAATAGCAGTGTTTTAGGGCTTGCTTGCTGTTTTTGCCCGAATGATCACTTGGTACATTAATCTTGTCTTTTGAGGTCTCCCGTGAGTTATTTGGTATGTTGGCTTCATTTGATAGCCTTTGTATTTTCTTATATTGTGGTTATAATGTGGTTTTCTTTCATTCTGAAGTCACTTTAAAAAATTACACAACTTTGGGAATTGAGTCACTTGGTATGAGACCTAGGACAGAACTTACAATTTGTTACAAAGAGTTGAAAACATTGTTACCTAAAACATCTAGAGTGTTCTTCCTTTCCCAGAATGGTCTAGTTTCTTGTTTATTTTTCTTTTGTTTCTTTGAGACAGGGTCTCACTATGTAGCCTTGACTGATCTAAAAGTCAGAGTTCTGGATTTTGAGAGGATATATATTTGCTTTGATCATTAGTAACAACAACTAGGCTTTTGTTAGTATCAGTGACTGTTGGGAGAACCTTTTGGGTCTTCCAAACAGAACACTCCCACACTTACAGTGGGGAGAATGTTTGAAGATGGAAAACGGGTAGTCTGTGTAGCTGTCTTCTTCTAGCTCATGTAGTAGCTGGGGCTTTAGCCGGAGAGCTTAAAATATTCACCTGGAGAAGTGTTCTTGACTCTCTGCAAGGTTTGTGTGAGCTTGCTTAGAGGAAATATGCTTTCTGGTTGCTCGTGAAAAACATATCATCTAGCTAGAACCTCAGCGTCACGTGGAAGGTGTCAATGGGGAAATAGGATATGTGCATGGAGTTCCTTTACCAAGTGCATCCTGGTTCAGGATGAGACATTTGTGACCTCCAAAAGGCATTGGGCTGGGTTCTGACTTCCTTCATTTGTAGATATTTTAGATCCAGTTTTGTTACTTATTGGAAGTGATCCCTGGGAGTTGTCACAATCTGGTCATTTTGACTTTGCTTTGTTCTTTCAAGACAGTTGGTTGAGACTGTCCCGATCTCCAAGTGTGTTAAGAATAACTGCAGAGTAAGCCAGAAAATCAGTTGAACTTTCTGGAGGGTGCTCTATAATTGGAACAGCGGTTCTGGGAAGATGTAGGCTAGGCTGCATGCAGCAGAGCTTGCAAGAAGAGTTATGTGCCAGCAATTTTTGTGTCACTGATTAATGGATGTAGCAGGGCAATAAATGTGCTCTGACCGGATTAATGGGATTTAGAGATAGCTGGAGAACTGGGCAGGGCTAAACAGAGCTGGAAGAGCAGCTCTAAGGGTGGCAAAGGATGTGGTGGGAGCAGGATGTGCTAACACTTTCTGTGAGGGTCCCTTTGCTTATAAAAACGCATGCTTTTTCTTCAGAGGTGACATTTTGGTCTTTAGATATTAGATGGAGCCAAAGACCTGATTGGCTGCCTTTTCCATAAATTAAAACGTAGTAATTCATTGAATTAAAACTGTCACCTGAGCGGATTTTAAATGACTCTTGCATTTTGAAACACTGGCATTAGAAACATCAAGTTATGTAACACAGTGTTTTAATAAGTGTGGGAAGATGGGACACAGCCCAGGCAGTTCCTGAGCTGCTGAATGCAGTGCTATTACTAGCTGTAGTCTCGGAGGCAGGACTCAAATCGGGAAGGAGATGAGAGAGGTGGAGGGGCTCATATACAAAGCAGCAGCTCTCTACTGGGGGCAAGCACGGTTCATCACAGATCACCTGGACATAGTTGACAAAATACATCCTTATTCCCCTGATAGGCATGTCAGTAAGAAGGAGAGGATGGGGAGGAGAGACAGAAGAGGAAGGGAGTTAGCTGGGGCACAGTGCTGGTTCCACATCAGCTCAGTGCTTATTCTGGTCATGAACTTGGATCTCTTGTGGCTATCGCTGATTGCAGACTGCTACAGAAGACTTTTTTATGTTTATTTTTTTTACAAAAAAATGTTTGGGAGTTCAAGACTTACGAAGGAGGCCTTCTCCAAGCTATATGGGTCCTTTGGATTTCTGGACAACTAAAACATTAGAAGAGATTTAACTGGTTTTCATTTTATATAAATAAAGATGGGTAGGCATTTGGTCATAGATTATTAAAAAATAGCAGTGTAAGATAATTTAGTTAAAAGAAAGATTAGACCCAGATGAGAAAATACGTTAGTCTGGTGGGTCTGACTTACTAATAAGGCTATGAAATTCTCTGATTAAAAGAAGCCTGTTTCTCAGAGGGCTCTGCTTTCCCATGTGCGTGCTGTCTTTAGTCCCCCTTCTAATTTGCCTCTTGCTGTTTATTTTTGTATCAATTATCTTGCCTTCTTTAGTATTTGTGTATCCTTCAATACTTAAATAATTTATGTTTACTTTTTACCAAATTACAGCCTTTTTTTAAAAAGTTCATCTTAATTCCCAATTCTTCTGCATATCTTCCCTTCTTTTGGTGGTGGGAATTGGACCTAGGGCTTCACACATGCAAAGTGCTTACTGTACCGCTCAGCTGCAGCCACGTTCAGCTACAGCCACAGCCACGCTCAGCTACAGCCACAGCCACACTCAGCTACAGCCACAGCCACGCTCAGCCACAGCCACGCTCAGCTACAGCCACAGCCACGCTCAGCTACAGCCACAGCCACGCTCAGCTACAGCCACAGCCACGCTCAGCTACAGCCACAGCCACGCTCAGCTACAGCCACAGCCACGCTCAGCCACAGCCACGCTCAGCTACAGCCACAGCCACGCTCAGCTGCAGCCACGCTCAGCTACAGCCGCAGCCACGCTCAGCTACAGCCACGTTCAGCCACAGCCACGCTCAGCCACAGCCACGCTCAGTCACAGCCACGCTCAGCCACAGCCACGCTCAGCTACAGCCACAGCCACGCTCAGCTACAGCCACAGCCACGCTCAGCTACAGCCACAGCCACGCTCAGCTACAGCCACAGCCACGCTCAGCCACAGCCACGCTCAGCTACAGCCACAGCCACGCTCAGCTGCAGCCACGCTCAGCTACAGCCGCAGCCACGCTCAGCTACAGCCACGTTCAGCCACAGCCACGCTCAGCCACAGCCACGCTCAGTCACAGCCACGCTCAGCCACAGCCACGCTCAGCTACAGCCACAGCCACGCTCAGCCACAGCCACAGCCACGCTCAGCTGCAGCCACGCTCAGCTACAGCCACAGCCACGCTCAGCCACAGCCACGCTCAGCTACAGCCACAGCCACGCTCAGCTACAGCCACGCTCAGCTACAGCCACAGCCACGCTCAGCCACAGCCACAGCCACGCTCAGCCACAGCCATGCTCAGCCACAGCCACAGCCACAGCCATGCTCAGCTACAGCCACGCTCAGCCACAGCCACAGCCACGCTCAGCTACAGCCACGCTCAGCTACAGCCACAGTTCTGTATATTTACTATGGTTTTCAAAAATCCCATGATTGGGTTTATCTCATTTTCTTCATTTGAATCTTTTATACTGTCTAAATCATTGATGCTTGAGCAAATTTGCAGTGGCATTTTATTTTCATCTGTGTAGGTGTATATAGTCATGTGTGTAAGGGTTGGAGGACAACTTCAAGAGCTGTCCCACCTTGGGGTTTTTTTTGTTATTTTTTATTTTAGTTTTTATTATGTGTATGAGTATTCATGTATGTACCACATGTGTGCAGTACCTGAACATAAGATCCCCTGGGGCTGGAATTAAGAGCTACTTGTGGTACGGAGGATGAAATCTGGGTTCTCTAGAAGGGCAGCCTGCCCCTTTAACCATTGGGACATCCCTCCGGAAGCCACCATGTGTTCTGAAAGAAGGTCTCTTATTGACCTGGATCATAACAAGTAGGCTAGGCCGATAGGCAGATGAGCCCAGAGATCTGCCTGTCTGCTCTCCCAGTGATGAGATTACAAGTGTGAGCCACCACGCCTGCATGTATTTAATGCCAGTCAGTTAATCTTGGGTCCTCATGGTTACAGGGTAACTGCTTTACTGATTCTTCCATTTCCCCACCCTGCTAATTTCTTTTTTATTGATCTGAGTCTGGTAGTCCTCTTCCATGACATTAGTTTCTACAGCCCTAATGTATAATCTAAACTTGGACTTATTTAAAATACACAGTGAAGATGAGGCACCCTTACTATTTTATTTTAGGGGTGCAAAATCCAGTAACAGCCTCTGTTATCTTCTTATTGTTCTCTGATGGGTCTTCCATGGCATTTATTATGATTTGGCTTAATTCAGTGGATTGTCTAAGGCTTTCAATATTTCTGATCCTAAAAACCCCACAGTTCTGATGGTAGCTGGCGACCTTTTTTTCTTTTTTGTTTATCTTTGAATTTTTAAAGTACATTTAACATTAAATTTTCCTCTATTTTTCCAAGTTATTCTATAGGGAGATAACATTTCTTCCTATTTTTTTTAAATATCCTCTTCTAATAACGTTTTCTGAGGATAGCTGCAAAACTCCTCTCCTTCCCCGACATGCCCCTTCTGCACCTCTCTCCACACCTTTTATATGTGAGAAAAGGAGCAAAGGGTCAATGACAGGTTCCAAGTTGGGAGTTTACACTTGAAGTTGTGTTCCTGTAGGAAGCAGGAAATTCAACTGAGTGAGAAGATGATGGTAAGAGAAGGGGGTTCAGCTGGAGTGGAGAGACTTGCTTCCCATAGTGACAGCTCACAGACTTTCCACAGTGAGCAGTAGTGTAACACAGTAAAAGTGCATGTCTCTGTGCTCAGTTTTCATTATGTATTTGACTAAAATACCAACCAGGCTTTCCAGAAATATTCATGATTAATTAATTTTATATAATATTTTAGGAATTGTCAGTTTGCTTTTCTGGATAGAAATACATTTAAGTTTGTCTTTGTTAAGCTAATTATATTGTCTTGGTAGACAGTATGCAGTGATGTAGGATTAGGTTTTTTTAGAAAAACTTCGATTTAAAAAGCAATTTTTAAAATTAAAGGTGTGCTTTAGCTTACTCCTGTAGTTCAGATGCTTGGTTTCTTCTTGTTGTTGTTTTGGTTTGCTTTAGCTTTTCATACGAAGAGGTCCAGTGTGCCCTTCTAATAAGAACCCTAGGACAACACCCCATCCCCCCACTTCCCAGCCTGTCCCTGCAGCAGAAGCTGTTCTGAGGGATGTGATGGCACAGACCTGGAAATACAAAGTCTGAGCATTGTTTATCATGTCTGTTTTAAGAGGGGTAGGGTAGATCAGCTGAGGGAGATGGCCTTGCTTAGATGGACAAATAATTTTCTCCTGTGCTGCGCACAACGCCTGTCTGCACTCTATGCTCTACCATAGTTCGCGAGCTTCAGGAAAGGGGCTGGAGGTTGAAAGATACAAAGACAGAGAGACAGAGAAACAGACCTCTAGTCACTAGTAAGAAGCCCTTTATTCAGTAGCACCACGGAGGCTTATATACCCAACACAGTAAGGTGGGCCAACAGGTGAAAACCTTATCCTCTGATCCTCAAGGCCCAGGCAACACGTGCTTGTGAAGCAGAGCTGGTAAACAGCTTTGACACAGCTTTCAGTAACTCAAATCAGAAGGAAAGTAAAGATCTCTAGCAGGGAAGAGCAGCTGGAGGCCGGGACTCTAAATGGTCCCAACACTCTTGTTCATAGTTAAAGATTACTATAAAGAGAATAATAGTTCATAGACACAGACAGCTGTGTTGTACGACATACATCTGATACGGGATTGATATCCAACTATGTAAGAAACTTAAACTCCGTGAGAAGAAAACACATAATCCAAGTAAGAATTACAAGGGATTTAACTAGACATTTCTAAAATTATCCGAATGGGTAACAAGTGGAAAAACTTGGCGTCACTAATCATTTGGCAGATAAAAATGAAAACCACATTGAGATGCTGCTTCACACCCATGAGAGTGTCTAATGTGAAAAGAAACAAATACTCTTTGAGATCAGGAAGGATAAGAAAAGAACTCTTGTCTACTGTGGGGATGTAAATGAGTATAGCCGTTATCGAGAACAGTGTGGGCACTCCTCAGAAACCATAGAGCCGCCGTCTGATGCACCTACAGACTTGAAATCATTACATTGTCTCCTTCCCTGTTCATCTTAGCGGCCTCACCCCTCACAATTAGCAACCTGTGCCCATCAGCTGATGAATAGAGAGAAAAATGTTCACTATACATGTGTTATTAATGAATATTATACATTTCAATGCCGCTAAGAAGGTAGATTCAGGATATTCTCATCACAAACCTATTTGTTATTTGAGGTTCGTTAGTTTGATTTACTACTCCATGCTGTATTTAAAAATCTTAACAGGGCTTGGAAAGTGACTCAGCAGTTAGGATTTCTCACTGTGCAAGCTGGATGACCAACGTGATTCCATAGTGGAAGGAGAGAACGAACCCTGATGATTCTGTGCATGGCACGCATACACACACAGATAATAATAATGATAGTGGGAATCTCAATATCAAATTGAACCATATGTGTGCATGTGTGTGTGTGCACCTAGAATTTGTCATTATACAAATTTAAAAAACATACCTGCAAACAGAAAACCACTAAACATTTCTTCAGTCCAAAAAATTGTTTTAATCTTCCTTCCCCAATAACTGTTAAAATGTTGCCGTATTTTGTGATGTGCACTGGGGTGGGAGGGACAGAACAGTAGTGAAGTGGGGACTAGTCTGTAGAATTTACGTCTGTGCTGGGTACTTTTTCATTTCTCAGATTACACAGTCCCCAGTGAACAGTGTAGGCTGACTTCTGAGTAAGAGGCTTATCCACAGTACAGAAACAAGATCCAGGTTTGGCCAACAACAACAAAAATAAAATGGAGGCTTTCTTGCCCTCATATGGAATTTTAAGATTGGGGCTGAAGATTTGTTTTATCATCCCTTTCTATAAAAGTGTCCAAAAGAAAACATCTTAAAATTTCAATGTAAACCTAGTCTGATATCTTCCAACTGCAGGGTCTTTCTGTCCAGTGTTGGTTTTGTACACTCTGACTGTTCACTCTCAGCCCACATACAGAGAACTGTCAGTCATGGGATGTTTTTCCTCTTCGGACCTTGAAACCTATTTGTAAACACTTAACAAAAGGAAGCTTCACTTCCATTATTACCCCCAGGGAGCTGAGGATTTCTCAAGAGATCCTTTTGGCATCTTCAACAAACTTCTTTTGCAGTTAGCATTATGGTAGCAGATGTCCGAGTCATGAAAATGGTACTTAGTAACGGAAAAGATGGCTCAGTATTGAGCCAGCTCTTCCCAGAACAGGGTCTCAATCTTCTCTGCTGTTCCCCATTAGCTCATATGCCAGAAACTGTTTTTACTGATCGTGTCTGGGGTGTGTGTATGTGTGATGTGCGAGCGCCTGCCTGTGCACCGTTCTTCTCTAATGCACAGCCCAGTGTTCTGCTTTGATGTTTAGAATGGTGATGTCAAGAAAGACTGAAGTGGAACACAATTTATCTAGTTGTGCCTCTTAGACGTCTAATGAAAAAGATGTACTCCTTGAAAATGCCCTTATCTTCCTTCAAAATACGACCCTTGTCTTTCTTCTTTCCTGCGGGTGAGTCATGTTAATAGCAGTAAAAACAACCTTATGACTGAGTTTGGCTTGGCCTCCTGTTGGTGGCCAGCTCTTTTATAGGGCCTTCAGTCACACATAGGAGCATTAAATTGTCCGCCCAGAGTGCTGTCAGCCAGCTGAGCACGAAATGGGAGGGCCTGGGAAAACTGAGGCTATAGGCCCACATTAGAGAGAGAAAGGAGGTTTATGAGGGTGGAGAAGGGGAATAAGGGAAGAGCTGAGAACTTCTGCGGGAACATGGAACACAGATGACCTGTAGGGTGCTCTTCCTCAGCCTCCTTTACCTCACTTTTCTCGTCTTTGAAGTGAGGGTCAGCACTAGTGCCTACCAGCTGGATTGATCGGTTTCTTAGAATTGAATCTAGAACCAAACAAAGACTCATCATGGTCAGGAATTCTTAGGTCTCGAACTTCTAAGCCACAGATGCCCACCCAGCATTTTTGAACGTGTCTGTAGTGATAAGGCGAGAAGGCCTGCTTTTCATCCTGCCCGGCTCCCACACGGCTAGCTTTACCCGAAATAACAACACACAAACTGTATTCTTTTAAACACTGCTTGGCCCATTATATCTAGCCTTTTCTTGGCTAACTCTCATATCTTGATTAACCCATTTCTAATAATCTGTGTAGCACCACGAGGTGGTGGCTTACCAGGAAAGATTCAGCATGTCTGATCTGGTGGCTGGCTCCATGACGTCTGCTTGACTCAGCTTTCTTTCTCCCAGAATTCTGTTCTGTCTACTCCACCCACCTATGTTTTGACCTATCAGGCTAAACAGTTTCTTTATTAACCAATGAAAGTATGACCCTCCTCCATCTCCTCAACCAAGCTGTAGTGATACAAACTATACATGGAGTCCCCAAAACGAAACAAAATGTGGCCTTGTACTATATTTTGTATTATATACATGTTAAAGTAACTATATTAACTATATTGGGTTAAAATATTACTAAATTAATTTCACTGTTTCCTTTTATTTTTTAATGTGGCAACAGGGACTTTGGTAATGGCAATGTGGTAATATGGTGAACTGTATACTTCCCTTATATGGCAAGACCAGAGCAAAAAAAAAAATGCTAGATTTTATTGGGAAAAGGGAGGAAGTAAGACTCTTGGGCTTGGCCTCACAAGCCTGAGGGAGAAAAATGGCCGAATTGAAGGAAAGCTTCCATGATGTATCCCTCAGTTTGGACTCCATGCGCAGGCTGTGGTGCTTTATAGACTGATTTTATTAATGGCTCCTCTAAAGACCTTAAGAGCGACATGATTATATTATGTGTAGTTGTTAAAAATACATGTTTTGTTACATAATCCACAGCTTTTCTAACCATTTTGTTTTTGATTTCTTAATTTTGTGAGCATCAAGTTGTGTCCCTCTTAGGACCCATTCCAGAGCCAAACAGAATAGATGTCTGATGAATTCCTACATTCTTAATTATTGTCATGCTCTGTATTTTATGTGTTTTGGAAAATATAGTCACTTTTGAAGCAGTTAAAACGACTCTGTCCGCAAGGAGGAAAGGCCCTGCTTTCTGCAGAGAAGGAAGCTCTTGCAGAGTTGCATCCAGATGCCTCAAGGTCATCTTGTCATTGCTGGGAGGGGTTCAAGTGACCCTGTCCATAGCAGCAGGGTGCCCTTGTTCACTTGCCAGGGGTGGGAGGCTGGGATGGTGAACTCCAGCTGGGACAGAATGTTTTTGGGGCAGTTTCTGGCTTTGACTTAGCTTGATTTGGCTTCTACTCTCTTTTTCTTGCAGTGAAATACGAGGAGTTATACTGCTTTTCCTTCAATCCCAAGCTGGATAAGGAAGAAAGAGAACAGGGCTGGTTGCTGATTGATCTTAGTGAAGAATACGAGAGAATGGGCCTCCCTGATAACTATTGGCAGCTCAGCGATGTGAATAGAGACTACAGAGTGAGTGGCACCATGTTAGTGGGATCCAAACACTTAATCCGCATGAATCAACAAAGGCAGTTAGCGTGGGATAACTTGTATCTCCTCTAGATTCCACTGCTCTTTATAGATGAAGTCTGAGGGTCCCCAAGTCTTTCTCTTTTGGCTGGTACCCTGCCCCCTCCACTACTGGGAATTGAACCCAGGGTCTTGGGCATGCTGCACAAATGATCTGCCACAGTAGTTGTATGCCAGGCGGCCCAACTGTACCTAGAATTAGTCCCTCAAGACTATCCCTGCATACTTCTCCTCTTAAGGGGGTGAGCATGTGGAAACTCAGGAAGGCCAAGTGGAGACTCTGTGGGCAGCCCGTTGATGGGAGAGCTGGCTGGAACCTCATTCTCCCATCACATCTTTTTATAGCACAGGGGACGATTAGAGGGGAAGTCAGAGGGATTCCAATGGCAGTTTGGCACCAGCCTCTTGATACGCATACTGGATTCTCAATTGGTACATAAGGTCACCAAGAGGTTCCCTAGAGAGATGTGGAAAAAAATGTGCCTATACTCACAGGGAGGAGTATGGAGAAAGGGGAGGAGTGCCAAAATAGCCCTTGTTCTCTCCAATGATAAGCTCACATGTTAGTATTAGCTTCAGTATTGATTCCTAGTGCTTTAGGGAGTTAGCAAGGGAAGGGAGAAGGAGGTGTGGAGGGGCAGCAGAGAAAGAGGGAGGGCGAAAGAGATAGACAATATGAATGGTAATATCATGGTTTAACTGTTGTGTGTTTGTGGGTTTGTTTGCTCAGGCTCAAGCCCAGGGTTCTGAGCATGTCTGGCAAACGCCTTACCATACCACTGAGATATACTTCAAGCCCCCTCTTCTGTATTACTTTCCTTCCTTTGTTGATAGTTACATAATTTAATAGATCCTTTCTTATTTAAATAGTGCCTGTGTTTATTGAACAGTCATAGCGACTCTCTGAATTGCCTGTTCGCATTCTTTTTTTTTTTTTTTGAGATTTGTCCAGAAAGGAAGCTTTATTAGCTAACCCCCAAATTTGACAATGAACTTCATTCTGATATATTATTCAAAGGCATCCAAAACTGTCCAGATTTTCTTTTTTTTTTTCTTTTTTAAATTTATTTATTTATTAAGGATTTCTGCCTCGTCCCCACAACCGCTTCCCATTTCCCTCCCCCTCCCCCCGATCAAGTCCCCCTCCCTCATCTGCTCGAAGAGCAATCAGGGTTCCCTGACCTGTGGGAAGCCCAAGGACTGCCCACCTCTATCCAGGTCTCGTAAGGTGAGCATTCAAACTGCCTAGGCTCCCACAAAGCCAGTACGTGCAGTAGGATCAAAAACCCACTGCAATTGTTCTTGAATTCTCAGTATTCCTCATTGTCCGCTATGTTCAGCTAGTCTGGATTTATCCCATGCTTTTTCAGACCTAGGCCAGCTGGCCTTGGTGAGATCCCAATAGAACATCCCCATTGTCTTAGTGTGTGGGTGCACCCCTTGTGGTCCTGAGTTCCTTGCTCGTGCTCCGTCTCCTTCTGCTCCTGATTTGGACCTTGAGATTTCTGTCCGGTGCTCCCGTGTGGGTCTCTGTCTCTGTCTCCTTTCATCGCCTGATGAAGGTTAATATTCCTGAGGATGCCTATGTGTTTGTCTTTGGATTCGCCTTATTTAGCTTCTCTAGGAACATGAATTATAAGCTCAATGTCCTTTATTTATGGCTAGAAACCAAATATGAGTGAGTACATCCCATGTTCCTCTTTTTGGGTCTGGCTTACCTCACTCAGGATAGTGTTTTCTATTTCCATCCATTTGTATGCAAAATTCAAGAAGTCCTTGTTTTTTACTGCTGAGTAATACTCTAATATGTATATATTCCATACTTTCTTCATCCATTCTTCCGTTGAAGGGCATCTAGGTTGTTTCCAGGTTCTGGCTATTACAAACAATGCTGCCATGAACATAGTTGAGCATATACTTTTGTTGTATGATAGGGCCTCTCTTGGGTATATTCCCAAGAGTGGTATTGCTGGATCCAGGGGTAGGTTGATCCCGAATTTCCTGAGAAACCGAAACACTGCTTTCCAGAGTGGTTGCACAAGTTTGCATTCCCACCAGCAATGGGTGATTGTACCCCTTTCTCCACAACCTCTCCAGCAAAGGCTATCATTGGTGTTTTTTATTTTAGCCATTCTGACAGGTGTAAGGTGGTATCTTAAAGTTGTCTTGATTTGCATTTCCCTGATCGCTAAGGAAGTTGAGCATGACCTTAAGTATCTTTTGGCCATTTGAACTTCTTCTGTTGAGAATTCTCTGTTCAGCTCAGTGCCCCATTTTATAATTGGGTTGATTAGCCTTTTACGGTCTAGTTTCTTGAGTTCTTTATATATTTTGGAGATCAAACCTTTGTCAGTTGCGGGGTTGGTGAAGATCTTCTCCCAGTCAGTGGGTTGTCTTTTTGTCTTAGTGACAGTGTCCTTTGCTTTACAGAAGCTTCTCAGCCTCAGGAAGTCCCATTTATTCAATGATGCCCTTAGTGTCTGTGCTGCTGGGGTTATACATAGGAAGTGGTCTCCTGTGCCCATTTGCTGTAGAGTACTTCCCACTTTCTCCTCTATCAGGTTCAGTGTGTTCGGACTGATATTGAGGTCTTTAATCCATTTGGATTTGAGTTTTGTGCATGGTGATAGATATGGATCTATTTTCATTCGTCTACAGATTGACATCCAGTTTTGCCAGCACCATTTGTTGAAGATGCTCTCTTTTTTCCATTGTATACTTTTAGCTCCTTTATCGAAGATCAGGTGTTCATAGGTTTGTGGGTTAATGTCAGGGTCTTCTATTCGATTCCATTGGTCGACTTCTCTGTTTTTATGCCAATACCAAGCTGTTTTCAATACTGTAGCTCTGTAATAGAGTTTGAAGTCAGGGATGGTAATGCCTCCAGACAATCCTTTATTGTATAAGATTGTTTTGGCTATCCTGGGTTTTTTGTTTTTCCATATAAAGTTAATTATTGTCTTCTCCAGATCTGTGAAGAATTTTGATGGGATTTTGATGGGGATTGCATTGAATCTATAGATTGCTTTTGGTAGAATTGCCATTTTTACTATGTTGATCCTCCCAATCCAAGAGCAAGGGAGGTCTTTCCATTTTCTGGTGTCTTCTTCAATTTCTTTCTTCAAAGACTTATAGTTCTTGTCAAGTAGATCTTTCACTTCCTTGGTCAGGGTTACCCCAAGGTATTTTATGCTATTTGTGGCTATCGTGAAAGGTGATGCTTCTCTGATTTCCCTCTCTGCTTCCTTATCCTTAGTGTATAGGAACGCAACTGATTTTTTGGAGTTGATCTTGTATCCTGCCACATTACTAAAGCTGTTTATCAGCTGTAGGAGTTCTTTGGTAGAATTTTTGAGGTCGCTTATGTACACTATCATATCATCTGCAAATAATGAAAGCTTAACTTCTTCCTTTCCAATACGAATCCCCTTGATCTCCTTATGTTGTCTTATTGCTATTGCTAGAATTTCAAGCACTATATTGAAGAGGTATGGAGAGAGTGGACATCCTTGTCGTGTTCCTGATTTTAGTGGGATGGCTTTGAGTTTTTCTCCGTTTAATTTAATGTTAGCTGTTGGCTTGCTGTAAATAGCTTTTATTATATTTAGGTAGGACCCTTGTATCCCTATTCTCTCCAAGACCTTTATCATAAAGGGGTGTTGAATTTTGTCGAATGCTTTTTCAGCATCTAGTGAAATGATCATATGGTTTTTTTCTTTCAGTTTATTTATATGGTGGATTACATTGATAGATTTGCGTATGTTGAACCAGCCCTGCACTCTGGGATGAAGCCTACTTGATCATAATGGATAATTTTTCTTATGTGTTCTTGGATTCGGTTTGCCAGTATTTTATTGAAAATTTTTGCGTCGATGTTCATGAGTGAGATCGGTCTGTAATTCTCTTTCTTGGTTGGGTCTTTTTGTGGTTTTGGTATCAGGGTAACTGTAGCTTCATAAAAGGAATTTGGCAATGACTCTTCTGATTCTATATTGTGAAATACATTAAGGAGTATAGGTATTAGTTCTTCTTGGAAGTTCTGGTAGAATTCTGCATTGAAACCATCTGGTCCTGGGCTTTTTTTCGAAGGGAGATTTTTGATAACCATTTCTAATTCTTCGCGAGAAACCGGTCTATTTAGATCATTCACCTGGTCTTGGTTTAGCTTTGATATATGATACTTATTTAAAAAAATGTCCATTTCTTTTGTATTTTCCAGTTTTGTGGCATACAGGCTTTTGTAGTAAGATCTAATGATTCTCTGAATTTCCTCTGTGTCTGTGGTTATGTCCCCCTTTTCATTTCTGATCTTATTTATTTGCGTGTTCTCTCTCTGTCGTTTAATTAGTTTGGATAGGGGTTTGTCGATCTTGTTGATTTTCTCCAAGAACCAGCTTTTTGTTTCAATGATTCTTTGGACTGTTTTCTGTGTTTCTATTTTGTTGATTTCAGCCCTCAGTTTTATTATTTCCAGTCTTCTACTTCTCCTGGGCGCGTCTGCTTCTTTTTTTTTCTAGAGCTTTCAGGTGTGTTTTTAAGTCCCCAATGTATGCATTCTCCGTTTTCTTTAAGTGGGCACTTAGTGCTATGAACTTTCCTCTTAGCACTCCTTTCATTGTGTCCCATAGGTTTGAGTATGTTGTCCCTTTATTTTCATTAAATTCAAGGAAGACTTTAATTTCTTTCTTGATTTCTTCCTTGACCCAGGTGTGGTTCAGTAGTTGACTGTTCAGTTTCCATGAGTTTGTCGGTTTTTTGGGGGCAGCGTGGTTGTTGCCTTCTAACTTTAATCCGTGATGATCTGATAAGACACAGGTGGACACTGATATTTTTTTGTATCTGTGGAGGTTTCCTTTGTTTCCGAGTATGTGGTCAATTTTTGAGAAGGTTCCATGAGCTGCAGAGAAGAAGGTATATTCTTTCCTATTTGGGTGGAATGTTCT